AAGTATGGTATTTACTACTACTAGTTGGGGTTTTTTATCCTATTTCTGATAGAAATCATAACCAATAGTGTTTTGAAAATAGAACACAAGTTAAAAGCATGCCAAATAGAGTTTTGTGAATTTCCATAATGCAGAATTATAGTATTTTTCATTAAGTCAACAAAATGTCCCTCTTTATGTTAATTTTAAAATACCCTGCTAATTTAAAAATATTTTTGTTTTCCTCCTCTGATATTCTTTACTGAATTGAACAATAAAACATTTTTATGCAATTGTACCTATATTTTTTTTGGCATTTTGTGTCTTGGGGGAAAAAAAGAAGTTGATTGGATAGTGCCTTTACTGTGTAGCTTTTAAAAATGATCCCAAACTACTGTGAACATGTAGGAGCAAGTGTGGTCTTGTAGTACTCTTGTCATAGGAAAAGTTACCATCATTGGGAATCAAGACTGGGTGCAAGGAGCTCAAATAACAGAAGAAAACAGAATGAGGAGTATTTAAATTTTGAGTGTTGCTGAACATGAAAAGTAAAACATTTCCCACCTGAAAAGTGATTGTAAAAATCCTCAGGCATTAACTATGGATGGTTAATTTTTGTGAAAAAGAGCTTTAATCTGAAGTGTACAGAAGCCACGTAACTAGAATTGGACCCAGAAGATAGGCTGTAGGAGGTTTTATTTCAAGTGAAGGTGTGAGTTTCATGGGCAGAGGTGCATATCCTCCATTGTTTATGTTTTGGCACTTCTGCAAGTTAGCAAGATATTTTCAAGGATAGGGCAGAAAGGACAGGTTCTGTATTACCTAATTGCTAATGCTGATACATCAAATGTTAAAGCTACCTTGGCTTGAGCGATTATAGACTTAAACTGGAGGCTTGGCATTGATAAGTTTCTAGGCCAAATATTCTGTATTAAATTTATTTGACAAGATAACAGTGCGTGTCATACCAGTCTGTTTACATCTGGGGTGCATGCTGCATCCGTGAGGGTTGGAGGTGTTCAGCAGCTGGAAAGACAGAGCTGTGAATATCCAAGTAGGAACTACATTTCTGTGCCTGTAAACCAGATATGAAAACCAAGTGCAATCTAGGTAATCTAAGGTCAGGCTATATAAAAAACTGTAATGATGACAGTCCTAATAAGGCACAGTTCTTATATGAGGGATTACCAGTAAATTTAGAAAAACTTGATGAAGCTATTTCAATATTTCTCAGATCATCGAGGCTCAGGAGATTACAATATGCAGGATGATTTTCTTATTTTGCATAGTGACTAACTCTGGTCTGAAATGTGGTTTATCACTAAATGACATTGGACTTTAATCCTTTGATGTGAATATAGGAGTAATTTTTTTTCTCTTTTCATGGGAGTTGTGACAGGCAAGAAATACGGATTTCTGGCACTAGGGCATTTCACACTAATTCTGTCATTTTCTTGAGGATTTTGCATGTTCCCCATTGATAGTACATCACTTCTTAAGTTTTCATATCAATGTTGGCAGCAACCAGATACTAGAGAACAATCCTTATATAGATTTTGTTAGGTCTGGTAAAGAAGACAAATAAATTGCATTGAAGGGTGATTCATTCTCATTTGTTGAGCATCTCTGATTCCTTTGTCTCTACAAGCAGATGGTGCTTACATGCTTGGTCATTATTTAGTTAGCCAAGACCTTTGAGGTCAGCATGATGGAATTATTGGAATTTAAACTTCCTTTAGTTTATTCATGTACTGTTTTTGTCTCAGCATTCTGAATTTCATGGTCTTTGGTCTCTGCACAGGCTACATCTCTCCCTTGTGCTTTCGTTCCAAACACCAGCTTATGGCAGTTGATTTTCAGAGAAGAGTACCAAATGATAAGGAGTGATGTTTAGAACACCAAAGAAATTTCAAATTATAGTAAGTTTAGATTGGGCCTGGGAGGTTTTTAATTTTGACAAATGTTGCTAATTTTTTTTCCCATTATTGTTGTGTGTAAACTCATGGAGACTTTTAAGTGAAGTGACTTTGGTGTAGTATATTTCTTTAACAACACAAGAAATGGGTCTGATGTGAATAGGTGATTAACTATACTTCCTGCATTCTTTCATGAAACCTTGATTTTGCAAAAGTTGTTTTCCTCAAAGCAAAATTTCAGACTAGCTATGTGTATCAAGTGTGTTTGTTGTCCTTTCCATGTTACATGGTCTTGCTTATTGAACAAAAATGCATGTGCTGTTGTCAGTAAATCTTAAGCGTGAGACTTGCATTCAAGATGCTCAGAGATCTGTATTGTTTACACGCACTTTCTTGGTACCTGCTCCAAGATTAGTGAGTTTCTATATTCTTGTAAGAAGTGATTTGAACAGTTCAGGAATAGTACACTATGCATCTTTGAATGCATGTTCTCTGACAGCTTTTTCTGTATAAATATTCAAGGCGTTTTTTTAAAGTTTGTTCATGAGGTGAAATGTTCATGCAGTGAAATGTAGGAGCATGATGTGGTTGAAGTGTGCAGTTAAAGAAAAGCAGGTTCAGAGATCTTTGTTCTGAAGTAAAAATGGGATGCAGTAGTTTTGATTTGGCTTTTAAGTTTTTATCAGGTGCTTAAAATACCAGTTTAAGAGATACTCTCATATTCTCTAATAGAGGGAGAAATGAGAAAGTAAAATGTTAGAGGACGATTTTTGACAGTGGCTTTCCCAAAACGTTTCACAAGTATGTAACCCTGTTTGCTAAGGCATGTTAGGAAGGCCCTGCTGGTTAGGAAGGCCTCCAGGGCCAGGGTTTTTGTCCTGTCTTGCTGCAGGAGCCCAGCTGTGCATGCCCAGCCTGGGCCCCTGTCCTCCCCTCGGGATTAGACTCTGAGGAGAAGTAAAACAGACAAGAGTCCCTCCAGTGGGTGGCCCAGAGCGTCCTTGTTTGTGGGCATGCTCTCAGGGCCCTCCAGTTGCTGATGCAGTGTTAGCTGCTTGTTAATCTGTGGTTGCCGTTCCTGCTGTGACACCCTAACGTCTCTTGCAGTCTGATCCCTCCAGCTGCTGGCACCTTGGGCACACTGTCCTGATGGCCCCACTCCGGTCTCCAGCACATGGGTCCTTATGCACTGCAGTCATTGACACTACAGGTGTGTGGGTCCAGTGACCCATGATGCCACTCCAGTTGCTGGCATTTACTTTTAGTTGCTCTGGTCTGAAGCTGCTGGCGTGCAGGCTGGTCCCCACTTCCTTGCAGTGAGACCTTGCAGCATTCACAGGTGGGACAGAGAGTGAAGTTGCATGGAAAGATAGTTAGGAGGGGGTTTAATAAGACAAGATAGACCACAGTGATCAGGCACAGTGCTCAGGCAGAGAAATCCACTGACTCGTGCCTGCTTATACATGACTTTTTCCCCTTTATCCTTCCTCCTGTCACTTTGTCCCTGCCTCCAGCCTGTTGGCGTACCACCCCTCTACCCCACTTTCCTGAAGGTGCCATCAGATTAACACATATTCTGTCACTTCTCCCTTATCTCTTACAAAGTCCAGGCTAACAGTCTTCAGAGCTATGCTTGTGATTTCTTAATGGCCCACTAATTAATGGGTGAAGAGTTTTGGACATCTTTATATCTCCATTAGTGCTTACTTATCAGGTTTGTGTCTACGTGTGGCCTGTTTACGGCTTTCCCTGTTACTTAGTATTCCCTGGGAGCTGAAAAGGTCCTTCACCTGATAACGTCAGTGAACCAGATGCTCTGATCTTCCACATGCCCTTAGGCTCTCATTTTAGCCGTATCATTGAGGCCAGTGGTGATGAGGCAATTCCAAGTAGTTACTGTGAACAGGAAATTGAACTAATGGAGGTATTAGACAAAGAATATTGTGGTTTTGGACAGGCACGGCCTGTGAAGTAAATAATAGATGGGTAAGGTTTAAAGCAGATATTATGATAAAAGACATATTTCAAGATAAGCAAGATTAAGGGATGCTATCAGACTGTAACGTGTTAATTTGAGTAGTGAAGGCTGTCACTGTATTGAGGGTAGCACAGATTTAAACTATTCGAAAATTGCCTATTATCTGTGTCTCAAGTTTGATTTCTGCAGGATTTCTATTTTTACTTCTATGAATGTACAGTGGCAAGAGAGCTTGTTTCGAACCTGCTGTCACAGGGTGGTAGGGAATCTTCATCTGTACAGTTGTGATGATTATTCATGAGAAACTTTTTCCCTTAAACAGAACGCCATTTTAAAAAGTACGATTATGTTGCCATGGAAGCTCAATAGGCTACACTAAAATGATTCTTTTATGAGTTTTGGGGATTTGTCAAGATAGAAATAACTTGTGCTGGTTTCAGGCAGGGACGAGCCGACCCACAGCGGCCGAGGGATTTTGTTTCATTCCACGCTACATCAGGCTCAGTGATCAGGCTGGGTGTATGCGCAGTTTGGAATTCGAGAAAGTGGCCCGGGGCGGGGATCGTTAAGACTTTTTTGGCTAGCTGATAGCTGGGTCATTAGCTCCTTTTGTTAGCTCTTGGCCTGGCTCTTAGCAGAGAAGCAGGTTCTTTTGTTAGTGGTTTGGGGTGGTTGGCGGGTTTTTTTCTCCACCTTCTCCATCTCGGAGTTTTTTCTCCCCATATTTGGGGTCGGGGATTTCTCTCTGCTCAGAATTGTTTGCCGTTTTTGGAATCTGGCTGTGTGTTGGTCGGCACGTGGTGAGATACTATATCATATGTTTTATTTTCTATTGTTTTAATTATTTAGTAGTATTGTTAGTATCACTGTAAGTTTAATTTATGTTATTAAATAGTTCTTATCTCAACTTTTACTAGGTTTGCTTGGTTGGTTGTTTGTTTTTTTTTTTTTCTGTGTTTGTTTTCCCTGCGATCCGGAGGTGAGTGAGCAACTGAGTGGTACTTAATTGCCAGATAAGGCTAAACACGACACTTGTCTTACAGCAATTTATTGTAAGAAAACAAAACAAACAGTAAGTGAAATTGTTACACATTTTCACCACTGCTACATTTTTTGTTTGTTTGCAGAATCTAGTTGTGTCCAGTTCCAGCTGGTCAGAAATTGATGTGCTGATTCTGGCTGGAACAATTGGACATGTTTTGAGTTTGGGAGCCAGCAGTTTTATAGAAGAGGAACATCAAACCTGGTATTTTCTTATCAATACACTTTGTTTGGTGCTGTGTCAGGAACTTTATAGAAATAATTTTCCTGTGAAAGAATGTGACACTCAACATAGCACCACTGTGAAACAAAATTTTGATAGCATCTGGGAAGTCTCTGAGTGCAAGAATGTAGACATTCCAGCAGCAGGTAATTCAAAATTGTGCAAGGCCACCTCTTCATCTGAATTCATAAAAGGATCAGATAAGTGGATAAGCTTAGCAAGTCCATGGATCATCCTTATTTGCTGTCGGCTACTTCGATCCTTGAATCAGACAGGCGTCCAGTGGGCTCATCGGCCAGACTTTGGGCATTGGTTGACAAGGTGGGTATCTGATTTATTGCCATACTTTGTCTTAATTAAAAATTAATATGTGTTTATTTTGGTGAAATATGTATGCATTTCTATACAGTCTCCGTTTAGAAAAGTGCTGTAAATGTGTAAAGCAGGTAAACAGTGAAGTAACATAAGGAATTTTTCACTGCTGTTTCATGTAGGAGTAATTCCTTGTGTACTATCAATAGTTTATAATCTTTGCCCTGCACCATGACTTATCTAATTAATGCCAATTATACATCATAGGTTTATCAGAGACAAAAAGTAAATATTTTCCATGTGTAAGTCAACAGTGTCTGGTTTGGAAAATTAAAAATCACTTAATAGAATTAAACCCTTGAAATTAAGACAGAAGGTTCAATTCCAAACATTATGAAATTGCAGGAGAAGATGCTGCACATTCTACCTTTTCTATCACAGGCATTAAATGTGTGGGTGGAAAACTGAAGAAATTCTTTTCAAGTGTAGTATGTTAAACAAGAAAGGGAATTTTTTACAACTTGAAGTACACTGGAGAAGGGCTTCTCCTTTTCTACTACCTGTGAAGAGCTACAGTCATTATTCAGTTATAAAAAGTACTTGATATTTGAACTGTCTTCTGTACTTCAGCTGGTGGATGGAGAAGCAATCATAGAATCATAGAATGGTTTGGGTTGGAAGGGACCTTAAAGATCATCTAGTTCCAACCCCCCTGCCATGGGCAGGGACACCTTCCACTAGGTCAGGTTGCTTAGACCCTCATCCAGCCTGGCCTTGAAGACATCCAGGGATGGGGCATCCACATCTCTGGACAAGCTGTTCCAGTGCCTCACCACCCTTTCCGTGAAGAATTTCTTCCTAACTAAACCCATTACTCCTTGTCCTGTCACTACAGGCCCTTGTAAAAAGTCCCCTCCCACCTTCCTTATAGGCCCCCTTCAGGTACTGGAAGGCTGCTATAGTCAAGGTTTTGCAAACAGCAGATGGGGAGGCCATACTGTGTAAGATAAAGAGATTTCTTGCCAGTATTTTACAACATGTGGATGAAATGTCATTCATCATTCAATAAAAGCAGCATGAGCAAATGAACTAATATGAGACCTGTTACTTATTGGCAACTTCACAGATCGAATGCTAATTGCAGTGAGAGGTATGAGTGCTGAAAGACATGAGTTATGAGGGAATTTACTGCATTATAGCAGTTGTTCTACCTTTTGCCATGCATTCCTTTCTCTACTCCTCACCTCATCTCAAGAAGAGGTATGTCATATTCCCAGCCTTAAGTCCACATGATAGAGAACTCCTTCCTGCATTATGAGCTAAACCAGTGTGTGAACGGGATTAAGTGTGACTTGGTATGTCTGGGAGGCTTTTTTGTAATTAATCCTAGGCATCTTCCGAAGATTTATTTGCCCAATAGCTTACTGAGCCAGATGTTTTCTGAAGACTGTTGGACTTTTCCTTTGGAGCGTGCTAGTGCCACAGTGCCATTAAATAACAGCTTGACATTCTTCCAGATGAAAAATAGTGTTTTTTTCAGAAATACGCATTTTGCATGGTCCCCCAGTAGTGTTTACTGACACCTGGAAATGTTACCAGCCTTCTAAAAATTGTGTGTGCTTGGCTGGACTTAATTTCCAAAGACCCTGTTAAGCATGCTCTCACCTCTTGATTTCCTTGTGCTGAGTATGCCTGTACATCAGCAAAACCTGCTATAGCCTTGGGCTGTGGGGGTCAGGGGGATAGCACAGGTAGAACGTAGCCTGCAGCTAGAGCAGGTGCTTCTAGGGCTTCCTGATTTATAACAAAAGCTGGGAAACCCTGTATGCTATTTTTGTTTCAGTTGTTTTTTCTCCTGTGAATTGGAATTGATGTGTTTTGCGGAATTCCTGTCCATCTTTGAAAACAACCGAATCACAAAATGGTTGAGAGTAGAGGGGATCCCTGGAAATTATTTGGTTCAGTCACCCTAGTCTAAGCAGAGTGATCTGGAACAGATTGCTCAGATGCTTGTCCAGCTGGGTCTTTGATATCTCCAAGCATGGCGACTCCTCAACTATTCTGGGCAACCTTTTTTTCTTTTTCCCTTCAAAAAATTTCTTTTGTTTAAACAGGATTTCCTTTATTTCAATTTGTGTCCTTTACCTCTTGTCCTTTTGCTGGGCACCACTGAGAAGAATACAGCTTCATGGGGTTTTTTATCACCTTCCACTTCCAATCAGACTGGTAAGATCCATGCTGAGCCTTCTCTTGAGGCTAAATGGTCCCAGTGCTTTGAGCTTCTGCTTGTATGACAGAAGGTCTAATCCCATCATCATTTTCATAGTCCTTCACTGCACTTGCTCCGTTATGTCTGTATCTCCTTTGTACTGGATAACCCGTAAGTGGACCTAGGGCTCAGCACTGGGGAAGAAACACCTTCTTCAACCTGCTGGTAACGTTTTCCATCATGTAGCCCCAAATGCTGTTGGTTGTCTTTGCTGCAAGGGCATGTTGCTAGCTGATGATCAACTTAGTGTGTTCCAGGATGCTCAGAGCCATCTCTAAAAAGGTGGTCAGCCCCCAGTCTGTCCTGGTGTCTGTAGCTATCTGTTCCAGGGTGCAGGACTTGTCTGTTCCCCTTGTTGAATTTCGTAAGATTCCTGTTGATCCATTTCTCCAGCCTGCTGAGGTCCCTCTCAATGACAGCAGAGGACCCATCTGATCCATCAGCCATGCCTCCCAGTGCTGTGTTAAGTGCAGACTTGCTGAAAGGACACTCTGCCCCATTGTGCACATCATTAAGGATGATGTCAAACAGTATGGGCCCCAGTGCGAGGCCCTGGGGTTGATCCTTAATGACTGACCTGCAGGTGGGCTTTGTGCTTCTGATGGAAACTGTGTGAGACTGGCAGTTGAGCCAGATTTTAGTTCAGATCACTGTCTGCTTTCCTAGCCTGGCCTACCTTCATCAGTTTGCCTGTGAGGATATTTATGGGAGGTGGTGTTAAAAGCCTTGTTAAAGTCAAGATAAACAACACTGCATGCTCTCCACACATCCAGTGAGCTCATTTCGTCACTGATGTCTGCCAGGTTGATTAAGTATTACTTTCCCTTCATAAAGCCTTCATAGCCTTACTATTAAAGCTGACTGCCTTCCCAATCGGTAAGGCTAAAGGGCAGCAGCTAGATATCAAAACTTCAGAATTCTACAGGTGAATTGCTCCGTGTGCTTCCCCACCAAATCATAGGCTCATGTTGGGTATTTTTGCTTGGGTCTTCAAGCAAGGCGAAGAGGATGTGTCACTGAGGCTTCCACATTCTCCCTTTTGTGCATTGTTTAGGAAGCAGATGAAAGAACAGAACCCTGGCAGTCCTGGCACACATTGCCTTGGGCTGCTGTGGAGTTACATCCCGCCTCAAATCAACAGAGCAGTTTTAATATAATATATGTCACCAGGCTGACATATACTTCAGTTGCTTGGTAGCGTTAAAGACCTGACCAAATAGCAGCATTTTGGCTGAAGTGCACTTTTTTTGGACTTGCATGATGGGATGTGAAGCCTTGCATCTGAAATGGTTCACTGGACAAGGCTCGGAAAGACCAGTCAGCGATGCAACTAAATCTTTGCACATCCTGTGGTTTGTAGAGCATCTGTAGATTCCTGATAGGCAAACATGGTTTCATTTTCTTTGTTTGGAGGTTTTAATGGCTTTGTTGATTCTCCTTCACAAGAGAACAGGGTGGTAGAGATGTCTGTTTACCTAGTGTTTTGGTCAGGATTGAGATGATGTGTTTTGCTAATAGCATAAATTAGAAGTTGGTGATAACTGAGTTGCATAAAGCACTTACTCCTCTTCCCAAAATGCATTGCTAGTCAGTAAGGTTGATTGTTTTTCTATTTTTAGTATGTGTTTAATTTGCATAGTTATGTCTTAATAGCACGTTTTTTAGTAATAACAAATTAGAATCTTACTTAGATGTTGCACAACCTTGTTTGTTTGAGTTAAAGTTACTCAGGCTTTTTCTAGCCAGCCTCCTATTTTGTCTCTAAGGTAAACTAGTGAACACACTGCCCTCTTTTTCCTTGTATTGACCTTTTAGACATCTTTGCTCATGCTCAGACTAATATTTTGCTTATCTGGACAGTGCTTAAGGGGCTCAGCATTTGAGACAAAGACTATTCTGTAGATTTGTGTATGGAAAAATTCAAGCGGCAAAACATAGAAAATCAATCTACATGTAATGTGTTGAATTGGGCTACTAGAGATGCATTCAACAGTGGCGAAATAAGGAAAACATTCATCGTTATTTGCAGAGAGGCTCTGTGAAACCTGCTACAAAGAAAAAAAAGCCAAAACCAAGACTTCGGTGGGAAAAAGAGCAAAAGAATATCAGACAGTATATGAAGTGCAAGAGAACATGCAATTGCTAAAAATTTGCCCGGGTTTTTGTTTCAGTTGTTGGTATTCGTTTAGCTTCATTTGGCTGTTAATCTTGGTCAGAGCTGATACTTGGAAAGAGTCAAAGCTGTTACATGGCTCACTGTAGAAGTGGTGAAGCTGTCAATGACATTGTCAGCTTGAAGACAAGTGATGAGAAGCAGCAGCATGGGAAGATGATAATAATTTCTTTTAATAATGTAGTTAACCATCACCAAATACCCTTCCCCCCAAAACCTAGCATACCATGTGACCCCTGTGTATTTTATTGTACATAGTAGAATAAAGTAAACAATTAAAAAGGATTTATCCACATAATACGAATCATGTGCACGTTTATAATTCCTTTCACTCTACTTGTATTTGCAGTAGCAAGGTGAAGTCAAAGCCGTGGAAAGAAAGGTTTTCAGTCTTCATGCTGACAGCAGAAATATGGAAGTGTAGGCTACAGGCTGTTACAGTAAGAACATATAGCTGAAGCATTCTTTTTTCCTTCATCCTCTCTTAGGTTCTCTTTTATGAAACTACTGGTTCTTCACTTTAAATTTTGTCCTTTGGGCAAATACCCGTACATTTCAACTGAAATCAGAGTAGCACATTCATGCTAGTATTTGTGAGAAAAATATGAAAAACATTTAGAACTTTGCTAAATTGCTGGACTGTGTATGGAGCAGCTACAATCCCCTTTCAAAATGTGTGCTAATTTAATATCTACTTGGTTGCCTAACTGTAAGAACCTTGGCTGAAAACCTTGAAAAGGTAGGTGATCTCTTCTGACCTGACTTCACTTACTATAAATCCTTCTGTGATTTCTTTAGTGAACTCTGTGAAACACTGGAGTAGGTTTTTTGGTTTTTCACAAATTTACATGGTTTAAAAAAAAACAAACTCCAAAACAGAAATCAGGGAGGACTCTTACCAGAGAACCTGGACATGAGTTGGATATAAACCCCTGTGCTAGCAGTCAAGAATGCACCCTTAGTGACTGATGAGCACATGACTTTGAATATATGCTTGCTGTTCACTGGGTCTTCTTTGAGAATTTTCCTTTTTTTTTTTTTTTTTGAGGGGTTAGAGTATGATTTCAGATGTTAACTGTAGGAACTTTTACCTCTTAGTGAGTGTCTTGCTTGATACAGCACCAGCATTTTCTTCGTACAGGTAGGAATGTTTTTTTTTTAAATTTCTTATGTGTTATGTTACATTTGCCTTCAAGATTCTTTTAACAGAAGTGCATTGTCTTTTTTAGTTAAAAAGAGACAAAGATGATGGTGATGTTCTATTATTTATCCCTTATTTGCTTTGTCTTGCTCTCATACAATGAGCAGTCAAGGACAATACGGCCTGAAAGCTTTCAAAATTTTCTACAGAGGTTCATTTGAAAGATGCAGTGGCTACTAAATTAGTTCTTAATGTGTTGATTGTAAATGGTGTGAGCACTGTCTTCACAGATTGCTGCTGCAGCTTATTCACTGCTTCTCTTGTCTCCTCTTATAGAGGAAGAACAATAGTGAGGAGAAACATCAAGACTACATTTTCTCTTCCATAGTGTTCTAGTTCTTCTTCCTCTCACTTTGCTCACCCGGTCTGCAGAAAGCAGTGTATCTCTTGGGAGTCTTGTTAAGTTGTGTGGAATAATTGACTCGGTCCTGCAGGGAGGACCAACAGGACAATTTCTCTGCCCCATTCCTCTCCTCTTTGACTTTCCAAGCACAACAGCTGAAACGTCTTTCAGTCAGACTCCTGATAAAGCATATAGTAGAGAATAGGAAAGCAAATCTGTTTGAAGTACTATAATTTTGATTAAATCAAAGATAAAATTCGAGTTTCATAAATGCAATTGGAGTTAATGCACGTAACAGCCCAGGCTCAGTCAGTTTGCTGAAGTTAGTGATCTTTGATCATGGTCTGTTAAAGTGTGGAAGACAGAAGATGGAGCCATCGGGTCTCACACTCTACGTGATGTTCTTAATAGAAGGTAAATCTAACAAAATTAGTCATTCTAGGTCATTTGGGATACTGGGAATATTTGCAGTAGGCAAGGGTTAACAATTCTTGCATTACAGTGAGCTCTCTGAAACTGCATATCTAGCTGTGGTTGGGGTTGAGCATAGATCTTCACCTTACCTCAGTACCTTTTGCAGTGCTAATTATTATCACTGTAGATTTAAATACATAACGTTGGAGCATGCTCAATAAAATGCCCTTGATTCTGGAATGAGTGTTACCTGTTTAGGATGCAAGGGAACAAACAAACTGTGTCTGTAATCTTCTTGGCCAAGATGCAGATCTCTTGTATGTATGTATTGATCCAGTGCAAGGTGCTGTAGTTGCATAAAGGAATCACTGTGCTAATGTGTTTGTGTGTACATGTTTTAAACTAAGTATTTTTCTGGTCAATTTGGCTAGGTAATGTCTTATATGTTCAAAATTAAACAAGTAACTACATGTGCAGTTATTTAAAAAGAGAGAATAGTTCTAGTTCTATAGTGCAAAATCTTTTCTGCTGTGTGCTAGAAAATGTAATACTGTAGTGTAAGCAAAATGCACTGTTGCAAAATGAGTAAATAACAAAGCCGTAGTTTAAAAGCATTAGGCCCTTTTTCATTATGCAATATGCAGCTCATTTTTTATATATTAACAGAGTAACAAGCATACACTTCTTATGGAACACCATAATTACACTTTTAAACATGCATGTTTGAATAGAAAAAAACCTCATTAATAAAACTCCTTTTCTAAAAATACTGAAGTATTTCACCATACCTCTTGGAAAGTTCATAACAGATGTCAGTGCACTGATTAATTTAGAAATACAGTGCTGTAGCTAAGGCTCTGTCAAATGTGTTTAGCAGTAATTACAGTGGTTTGAAAAGGTTTGTTTGTTTGTTTTCTAGCTCTGAACATCAGTCTGAACTATCCTTCCTGGCTGCAGTCTCCCTACTTATGATCTTCGTTCTGGTTCAAAGAAGATGCTCCCTGGTTTCAAAAATTGCTATGGCACTCGGGCTCCTGGGAGTCTACAGTTACCGGGCAGCTATTGGAAATGTTGTATTTCCATGGCAACATGACAGCAAAGATATTTCAAAGTAAGTTAATCAACAGATATGTAAATCTATTTCTAGAGAGGTGTTAACACTTCAGATGTGAGGGGATGAGGTGGGAGGGGACATTATGTCTAGGCTGGAAACACATCTTTATGAATAAAACTCCATTTTGAAGTTGGCCAGCACTCTTTTTTTTGTGGTGTGTGTATAATTTTGATTGCCATGAAGTGTCTTTCAACTGCCATATCAGAAGTCAGTCAGATAAGAATTATGAGGAAAATCTAGTAGTCATACCATGTATGTTTGCTACAAAAACTGCAACTGCACCATTTCCTCTTGTTTTAGATGGACTTGCCACGTTTAGCAGAGCGCATGCCAAGCTTGTTTAGCTACTTCCTGGTTTTGAAAAATGCCTAGGCAGTAATTGACGAGTTGCTTTTCTATATCTATCTTTTTTGCAGGTGAGCGCGCTGTAGCGTATGGCCTTTCAAGATGTAACCAAATCCTTCTTGACGTCTAGGCTGTGATGCACAATGCATACTGAGCATTTTTACATGGATGTTAAATTCCATATAGAACTGGTCTGTAGCCGTAAGGAAGCTATTGGCTCTTTCTCTGATAGCTACTTTCGGAATGTAGCTAAGTGGCTTTAGTTTCCTTATGATACTTTTTACTCTTGTATTGTAGCTGGCTCTGCAGCCTCAAGATTTTCTAAATGTCAGAGTGCTGCAGAAAACTTCCAGAAACAATTTGGACATTTGATGAAGAGGAAGGGATCATAGAAGAGCAGTTGTAAAACAGTTGTCTTCCGGATATAATAAACTTCTCTCACACTCATCTAGAACTTGATATGGACATAAATGATTTCTGTTGAGGTTTCTTAATCAGGGGCCAGAGATTCACAAGATGCACAGAGGTGGAAAAAACCCTGTGGAAGAAAATCTTAGGACATATAGAAAATCAGATTTCCTAATGAGGCATGTTTTGTAACAAGTATTTGCATGTATGTATGTATATCTAGATATATTTACATACATTCCAACTTTCCAAATACTGAAGATGGTTTAACACTAGTGTACAGCTAGAATTAATGTTGTGCACTAGTTTTGCTGGATACAAATGTAGCAGAAGTCTTTACTTAGTCTGCAGGATTTAGCTCTGTGTTTGAAACATGCTTGATTTCTGAGTGTGACCTCTAGCTTTGAGTAAAATCCTTGGAGAAGAATTCTGTCCTTAGAATAAGAAGAAAAATATTGCAGTGCTTGACAGAACAGTAAATATGGCAATTGAGCTGCAAATAAAATGCAGTTAGGGAAGTAAGTGGCATACTTAAAGGAAAACGTTTACTGGGAATGTGTTCATTCTATAGTCAGCATACTGATTACAATTATAACAAGAAACATCCAGGCTTCTTGTGTTATTTCACCTTAAATACTGAATGTGGTGATTTGCTTCAATTATGTCAGACCCGTATCTATTTCTGATTATACACTTATTTAAAAGTAACTGTCATGTTTCAAGGCTTTATATCCTTTAGATCCTCTCTGTAAGCTGTTTGGTGAAAGTAGGTGGGGTTAGCAAATGCAGGTTCTGACCTTTGTGTCAGCATGTGTTCTGTGTCTGGGGCAGGAAGTGTGCAGGGCTCTTTCTGGATCTCCATAAGAAAGGACCAACAACAAATGTGTAACAAAGCAGATATTTTAATAAGATGGAGTAAAAAGAGGAATATATGTAGTGAGTGCTTTCAGATGCTGGGAACCCTGCTTCTGTGCAGCATCAGACAAAGCCTAGGTGAATCTTCCCATGTCACAGTGTGGCACGTAGGTCCAATTTGTGGAGATGTTCTGCCTGTGTCCCATACTATGGTATTATTTCATGTAAAAAACCAGACCAACCAAACCAAACAAACAAAAAACCCCAAAAACCCCAAAGCTGCAGCCCACAAATAAAACTAAAAAACCCAACCAAACACAAGAAACCCCAAAGCCCCAAAAACACCCACCCACCCACCAAACCAAGCCTACATGTCTACTCCTGCCAGGTCAGAACATTCTCTGTCATAATGCCCACCAGAGCGCAGCACAGGGGTTCCTGCATGGTCCCTTGCAGTAGCTACTCATGTTAACATGTAGGCTTCTGACACCTGAAGTACAAGGCCTAACAGAGCAGACGTGGCTTGCCTATGATCACTAACTCCTCAAATACATTATCTTCAGCATGGATCCCAGTACAGTGTGTCAAAAAAGTTGGTAGATGCGTTTTAGGATTTTAGCTGTTGTATTGACTTAGTGATTTTAGCTTATCTTTATCAGTTGGCTGATACGATAAATTGTAAAAGTCTATTTCAAATGCCACCAGGAAGAAAGCCAGGACTTTCTTTTAAATGTGTATTGATGATATGAAATAGCTCCAAACAATAAAATACATATTATACAAACAATAGTTTTGTGTAATATGAGAAAAATACAGCCACTGCATTTTTCATAAATAATGCTTTCTTCTGTAAGGTGGAGAATCTTTGCTCTGAAATGCCCCATCTCTGTACCCTTTACTGAAGATAAGTGTTTTCTCTGAATGTGACAGCTGCTGGGAGGTGGATGAGGGAGAAGAGGCAATTGAAGCGTGTCCCATCTTCTATGGCTTACATTAAGATAACCTCTAAATTAAAAATTGCAAGGAAGTAATTTGGCTTTCCATTTTCCTCAGAATTATTTTTAAAGATAATAGTTTGTGCAATGAAAAAGATGAGTATATACCATATTGACATAAACAAAATAATAGTAGTGCATTTGCCGATTAAACTGTTTTCTTTTTTGTTTGAATTTCCATAAACTTGTTGATTTCTGTTTTCACTTGACTCCCCCTCCCCCCGTCCCCAGAAAAGGAATCAATGGTCCTTACAGGGGTTTTACAAAGGTTTGCTATTTAAGGGATTAAACTAGTAAAGTCCCTTTGCATAGACCATTAGGTATGAGTTTCAACCTTTGAAAGCTAAACCACAGAACAGAACACTGTATTTA